ATATGATAAAGAACTTATATATAAAATATATAAAGAACACTTACAATTCTTTAATAAGATAAACAACCCAGATTAAAAGTGAGCAAAAATTATGTGAACGGACATTTATTTAAAAAATACATATAATGCTAGTTAACATATGAAAAGGTGCTCATTATCATTAGTTATTACGGAAATTAAATAGAATTTATTAGAATGTCTATGAGCAAAAAACACCTGATTATACCCGGTATAAACAAGGAGGTGGAGAAATTGGAATCCTCATGCCCTTTGGAAAACAGTCTGGAAGTTTCTTGAAATGTTAAACATAGATTTTTCACATCACCTACCAGTTCTACTTTTCAGAATCTTCAATGAAAATATATATCCATGGAATTAAACACAAATATTCATCACAGAATTATTTATAATAACTGGAAGTTGAAACAATCCAATGTCCATCAACTTGTAAAAAGATAAACAAAAAGTAGTACATCCATAGATGGGATATTATTAGACAATAAAAACAATGAAGCATCGATACCTGCTACCACATATATGAACATCAAAACCAATATACAGAGTGAAAGAAATCAGAAACAAAAGACTACATGGTGTGTGATTCCTTTTATATAAAATTCCCAGAGAAGGCAAATCTAGAGAGAAAAAAAGTATATCAGTGACTGTGCGGGGTTGAGATGGAAATAGAGATTGGATGCAAACAATATGAGGAACTTTTCTGAGGTTATGGAAAAGCTATTGAACCGGATAAAGGGAATGGTTGAACAACTCTCTAATTTACTAAAAATCACCAAATTGTACATTTTCAATGGATGAATGGACTTTATAGTAAGCAGGTCATCTTCAATAAGTTCTTAATTTATTTATTTATTTTTTTAAAGGAAATTTAACTCTCATCCACATTCCTTGAGAGTGCACTGGACTGTGATACTTTCAATCTTTTTTAACCAGATTTTTTTAAAAAAAATCTCATCATTATTAATAATGTACATATTTTGACTTCTAGTAAAACTAAACATTTTCATCTACTTGGGTTTATTTTTCCAATAAGGATATCCATCTTTTCCATAAAGACACATAAGACTCTTACCTTCTTAAAATAGCAAAACGTTTTCAGTGATATCCGGTATGAATACTTTTCCCATCTTTTCATAAAATTTAAAACTTTGGGTTTTTTTCTATATTGAACTATTTATTTTTATCTAGCTAAATGTGTGTGTGTGTGTGTGTGTGTGTATATATATATATATATATATATATATATATATATATATATATATTTATATATATATTTTCATTTATGGTTTCTGTCTTTGCTATTATAACAAATGATATTCTATTGAAAGATTATCCGAAATCTTGAGCATTGTTAATTAAGCATCCCCTATGCCAACCGCAATGCTAATGGGCCTCTCCATTTGGAAAAAAAGATAAAAATCCAACTTAAAATTTCAAAGTCAGGTGTCAACAGACTTTTCTTCCTTTAGCCCTTAAATGGAAAGAGACCACTGCTTGCCTGACAAATTCATAAACTGCTTCAGTAGAGAATTTACAATGTTGAATACTAGACACAAAAATTGTAGGGACGAGGAACTAGAAAAATAAAAAGGATGTGAAAATGTGTTTGCTCTTGCTAATCATGCCAGAACTGTGATTCTAGGCCTTGCTAGCTCATGCCTCTTTTTAGAACATCAGATCATCACTTAATGACATGACATTTGTGGATGTTTGATCAGAATAGCCTAGAACTCAGTTACTCACTGTCCCATTGCCAGTCCCCTGAAGTCCATGAATGTTATATTTCCCCTGTTCTTTCACTCATTCATCACTCATTAAGTAAAACAGGAAACTCAACTTAAATCTTACAAACTCAGACACAGGTCACATTGTTAAGTGCTCTCTTGCTTAAAAAAATAACACAGTGGTCATAATTTTTTTTGGATTAATGTTGCTGTGACTATTATCCACAAATATACACATAAAACTTATATTTAGTAAGACCATTTTATATTACATGCGGATGATATTATGGCCTAGAAGTTGTGTAACTGAGACCTAGTCATATAAAGATACAATCAGAAGGGGCATTCGAATGCCTGATAACAGGAAAGGACTCTGATTTTGTCTTTGTGTATTTGAGTCCTATCCACATTTTCAAGACCAGTCCAAATTCAGTTTTGTTTTCTTATCTATGGTAGAGCCTTTGAAATCTTACTAAACATTCTGCAACATATGCATGGACTAAATGTTGTTGAACAGTTTTGTGCCTGCTAGTCTTATTCCTTCATTAAATTAAACATAAGCTCCAAGAGAGCAAACTGCATGTCCTTAACAACATTAAAATAGTACTAGGACTCCAGATCTTTTCATTGACTTTACTAGTACCACTTCTTGTTCTGCAGGACAGCTTAGAAAGAAGTTCATTAAATAATATTTCTTGATTTCAAGGTAAAGAGATATAAGGAACTAAGATGGCAAAAATGTATTGCCATGGGGGCACTTTTGAAGCTGATTATAATGTAGAATCGGCAGTTGTTCAGGCAAAGAAAATATTGTGAAGTAGTACGTAAATGCTTTGGCAGTTATCAACTGTACAGATCTCCAAGAGCTATGCACGGATCATCTCCAGTTCTCCTTCTTCTTCTTTTTTTCCCCTTACATGGAGGTAGGCTTTACCTATTGACAGTGGTTGCCAATGTAAGTTCCATGAACTCCAGGATTCCATGGGAGAGCTCTAAGGTTTGACTGATAGAGATGGGATGGCCCTGACAGCCAAGTTTAATCTGTGGTTACCTCAGCCCAGGTACCAACCCAGGTTTTTGAGCTCTAGTTATAAATAAAAAACCCTTCCCATTAATAAAGCAGAGTTTTCCATCTCTAAAAAACTTTCAGATGTCCTAAAGAACCACATATAGGTGCCTGTATACAGATTTGCCCCTAGACATAGAATTGCTGGTTAGCTCATTCATAGGAGTTCTTTCTTGCCTTCCAAAGCCAGTTGTTCTACTGTTCTTCTTTTGCTCCCTTCTGTCTCCTTGAGAGAGGTGGGCAGTGACATAAAGTCAGGGTGATGGTTTTAACAGCTCTGGTTCTTGAACAAGGTAAAGTTCCAAAGTTTGGGTTTATTGTACATAAAGATGCACATCTAACCTGCTGTTTATCTAAACATTTGTTATAATTCCCAGGGAACAAGATGGCTCCAATTTACTTTATAATTCATTTCTTGATTATTTCACTGGGTTCCACTAGAAGTCCAAACCCATAATTAACCCTCAGATAAATGCTGAAAATGGTAACATCAGTTTAATATACTCGTTTTAGTACAGTAGCACTAAAAAATAAATACTTTTATAAAAATTAAATTTAAATAATGAGTCCTAAATACTAATATTCTTAAAATACCATCCATCTTCTTAAGTTAGAAGTCACTTTAGATTTCCTAAATTCCTCTTGTCCTACCCATCACTAAATGAAGAGTAAATAATGGTCGGTGTAAGGACTGTGGGATTTACAGCATTTGATTCGATCTTTGCTATTACCTATGGGTTGGTGAGAGGTTGGGTAATTTATGTCTTAAGTACGGTTCAATGAGGTTAATACCTGCTCAAAGAGTTCTGAGATTCAATGAGATAATGCAAGTCAAAAGCATGAGGCACAGAGTATGTTCACACAGAACTCTTTAAGAATTTTTTTAAAAACTGTTTTAATTATTATTTTTTTAAAAAAAAGAGGAGTAGGAGACATGTTTACTCCAAATTCTCGGTGATAACAAATAAGAATGTAAAAGATTCTGGATTTTAAAAGGTCCAGTATTTTAAAATAGTTCATTCTCTCTCTCCCCTCTCTCTCTCTCTCTCTCTTTCCCCCTCCCTCCCTCCTTCCCTCCCCCACACCCAGTCCACAGTCTTTAATTAATAAGGTAGTTTATTATTTGTAATTTTACTTCAAGTTTAATAGTCACACTATTGATTTCTTGGAAACCCTGGGGCACTTTGGTTGGAAGGTGCAAAGCATTTTCTTAGTAACCATTGGGTCACACACCAGCTTCCCCAGGAAGGGGGAAAGATTTCCTTTCCCTTGCTGGAACAATGTCAAGTCGCATCCCGACCCCGAAGGAAATATGTGCCCCCACGCGTGGTACTTGGAGTATGAGGCCTGAGAGGAAAAGAACACAGTGCGTGAGGGCACACAGTCCTCAAGAAGCCGGGGAAGTCTCAAATGACCCCGCTTCCTTCTGTGCACCGACGAGCGCTAGAACGAACCAGTGTGAGTTCAGGGACAACCGGTGGCCCCTGACCTTGGACCAGCCACGCCAGGCGTCCGCGGCGCGTTCAGATCTTTCACGCTGCCAACTCCGCGGCTCTCACAGCGAACTACTAGTAGGTCCAGGCCGCCCGGGCCCCGCCTGCGCAGTCCCCAGCCCTGATTGACACCAGAGTTGGTACATACGGGTCTGCAGCTGAGGAGAGCAGTGGGTGGGCGCTATTTTAAACATGGCTTTCCCTCTTAGCCTCAGAGCCACCGCGGCACAGTGGGCACGGCCCATACGGGGACAATCTCAACATCTGCCCGATTTTATTTATTTATTTTCGATTTCCTAATGCTCGTAGTTTTTTTCCTCCTCTCGTTGATTTCTCTTTCACACTAATCACAATCTGGAGTTTGTAAAGAGGAAAACTCTCCTCCTACAAGGGGAAATAGAAATCTCTTTTGCTGCTTACTTGGAAGTGCAAACCATTCCAGTGAGAATGAGTTCATAAAGAGGGGAAGCCGCGTCGCTGGAGAGAAAGTAACATTCAGAGATCGATGGGGACAGAAGGAGGGAGAGAAGGAGAGAGAGAGTAATGCCTGCAACAGGCATCTGAAAACAAGTGTGGAGCAGTAAAGAGATCCCCAATTCCCGAGTTACTACTGCGCGAATTCGGCGCGTCCATGGCAAAGACAGGATTTGCTGTAAGCGCAACTGAAGGCCTATGAAAATCTTTTTAGGTAAGACTTACCTTTCTCTTCGGCATAATGACTATATTGGTGCAGCAAAAAAAGTAAAGCAACGGGCTGGATCTGCTGGCACCACGGTTGGATGCTGCCTCTGCCGCTGAAGCTGTTCACGCGCGGGGCACAACGTAGCCCGGCCTCTCCGACCTGCACCTCAGCGGCTCCCTCCCGAGGCCCTCCACTCTCTCGCTTCCCGTTCCTCCAATGAGAGATTCCCCCAGCCGGCCGCGAGGCCCCATTGGCTGAGGCAACGTTCTAAATTCCACGAGGGCACGCCCACCTCCGCGCGCACTGTACGCGCTGTTGTAGTTTCCACTTCACTGAAAAATCTGCCTGGCGACTGAGCATGCCCAGTTCAACTAGTAGCCTTCGGGCCACACAATCCTGGAGTTTTATTGTTTTACTGCTTCTTTGGATTGTATCAATTAGAACGGTATGCATCTTCATAGAAGAAAAAAAAATGTACGGATGGACGCATTAACTTGACAATATAAATATATACCCAGCAGGTAGTTTACTTATTTCTTACCCTAAAAAGCTTGTGATGAATGTTGAAAAGATGGAGACTAGTAAAGGTTAGGAAGGTGCTCACTTCTAGAAGTGTCTTGCAATCTTTGAGGATCTCAGTTTCCCCCTCTACGAATCTAGGAAGAGGAATCTCTAAACTTGCTTAGCTCTTATTTTCTAAAGTCCATGATTACAGGTTACCCACTAATATTTTCTAAAGTCCATGATTACAAGTAACCCACTAATTCAGCCAACCTCAAGCTAGGTGTGAAGATGAATAGAATATGTTTTCTATGGAAATAACAACCAGGGCGAAAATGAACAAGTTTAGAAATATTTGAAATACATGTTTAAATGACACCTATCATGTCATATTTTGTGCATAGTTTAATGTTTCTCGAAGTTCTGCAGTGCATTGAACAGGCATTTCAAAAATACTTATGACTTTATTTTATAAGAGTAATTTTACCCTGGTAACAAAACCAGTGAAAAAACTCAAAAGAAAGTTCTAGACCAATATGCTTTGTAAACATAGTAGTGAACAAAATTTTAATAAATCAAACTCAACAATTGAAGAATAATATGTGACCAGTGTTTAGCCTGAGGATACAAATTTAAGATCAACCAATGTAGTTCACCATAATAATGCAATAAAAGAAAAATATGATCATTTCAACAAATGCAGTAAAAGTGCCAATGAATGGTTAAGCAAATTGTGATAAACATATACAACGGAATACTACTGAGCAATAAAAAGAAACAAACGGTCCTACATGGATAAACAACAAAAAGTGCTAGGTGATAGAAGCCAAATACAGAAGACCATACTGAATGATTTCGTTCATACAAAATTATTGAAAAACAAAATTAGGCAAGTTTAGTTTCAGAATCATCTTAGAAGGCAAAGTTCACATCATAGGAAAATGTATTGAAGCCTTAAACTACAAATATGACCAAATCCATTTTGGTCACATGGAGACTGTAAATATGTATTAAACAATGCAATCAAGCAATACATTTTAATACCTTAATTTTATTTCTTAATTTTCAGAATAAATGAATTGATATTCTTAGAATGGATTGATGACTTTCTTTTTGGAATATCTTTATAAACTCATGTGTTTCAGCCTTTTGCTATTATTATTTGGCATGCTCCAATCTACTGATATCATTATTATTTTTAATTGCTCCTATTGACTTATTTATGGTCAATAAGTCTTTTCAAATTAGTGCCTTTATCATTTTGTCCTGACACCGATTGTCTTTGGTAGATTCCTTGCTCTTTGGCATTCAGTGGAAAACAATATACTTGAAAGAACAAAGATAAAATCAATTCATTGCTTTAGAGCTTCATAAAAATGTAGAGATTAATAAATTTACTATATTAAAATAATATAATGAACATGTCTTATGATAAAGTTAATTTGCCAACAGCCTGATAGTTCAAAAAAAGTCAGGGAATGCACACACACACACACACACACATCCCAAAGGTGCTTAACCACTGAGGAACATCCCCAGCCCTTTTTATTTTTATATTTTTATTTTGAGACAGTATCTCACTAAGTCACCTAGGGTTTTGCTAAGTTACTGAAGCTTGAGGCTGGCCTTAAATTTGCAATCCTTCAGCCTTAGCCTCTCCAGCTATTGGGATTACTCCAGCCTTATCCTCTCTAGCTACTGGGATTATAGGGATGCACACTGGCCTGGAAAGATAATTTTAATATGATGTATGGGAAAGATGCTGGGTAGCACTTGAGATCTGGGTTGAATTGTTTTTCTTCATGAAAATTTAAAGGTGTCAGAAGAAAGCTTTAGTCTTTAGGGCTAAGAATCACAAAATTGGTTTCTTTAGTTGATATCTTGCAAGGCCAAATGCTCAGTTAACAACAGCAAACAAAATTGTGATTATTTTAAATGCACCTAATAAAATGATTGTAATGAAATTGAAGCTTGCTAGCTGGAAAAAGAAAGTTGATTACGGAAGAACCTTAAGTAATTTGAGCCTTTTAGCTCATTTACAAATACTGAAACTAACAACTTTGGTTGAAAAATACAAATGGTTATCTGTCCTTTGATGTGGATTGCACCTGACTGAGTGGGACTGGAGGAGGGAGTGTTCTCCCTTGTTCCTTTAGTAGCCTTCAAGATCTGGGAAAATCAACACTGATCTCCACTGGCAACACTGGAAGTTAGAAGAATAGGCAAAAAGAATGATCAGTAGGTAGCTAGAATTCCAGTTTAAGAGATAAAGACACCTGGGCAGAAATGAGCACACCATGTGCAAGATAGTGCAGAGGACACCCTGGTAAGAAGTAAAGACTCGTTTATTTTTTATTAAATTTCACTAAGCATTTCTGTTGTTTTCATACTATAAAACTCTAAAATAGTAAAAGCATCTTTATAGGATACAGATGCTACATTAGCTAAGATAGATAATAGGTAAATTAAGGGAGTTACTGCATAAGAATGAAAGAGGCAAATTAGTGAATAAACTTTGTTTATCCAACTCCCTTTTTCCTCCTCAGAACTGTTGGAATTCTACACCTATCTCAGCACTTTTTGAACAACAAGGCAAAACTATTTACAGTGTCATGATTATCACCAAGGAAATGGAGAGAGAGGGGGAAAGAAGTAGAGAAAGGAAAGAAAAAGGGCCAAGCATAGAAAACCAGAATGCTTTTTCACATGGCAGAGGTAAGTAATGTTTTATAAAATGATTGTTTCCATTTTCCATACATGTGCACATAAACACACATGATATACATGTGGTGCATGTGTATTTATGTGTGTGTGTCTATGTGTGTAGTGTATTGAATTGTGATGGGAAATGAATTTTTACTATTGGTCTTGGTGAAAAATATTTTAAAATTACTGCACAGCTAATGAAGTTTGTGGAACTCTGGGGCTCCAGAAAGTTGATCCTCTGGAAAAAAATGGTGTTTGACTTCATATCTTGAAAGGAAATTTTGAATGGAAGCTTCAAATGGAGAGGATCATTTTGTAGAAAACATCCTTCTTTGTCTGTCCCTTTCCCTCTATGAGGCAGGTACAGCTTCCTTAGACATTTGCTCTAAGTAATGGCAAACTGCTGGAGAAGTCAGACCTAGAATTTGTACATTGTTGCTTGTGGTAGCTCTGTAATTCCAGGTTATGTTATGGTCCTTCAGTAAACAGGCCAAAGAATTCTCAGGTGCATTCAAAAATATAACAAAACAACAAACAAAAGGTAGCAAAAGAATACTCCATTTGGTTTGCATTTTGTCACTCAAGTTTCTAATGTGACTGCATGCTAACTTTTCACTAAGGTTCATTTTTATAGGTTAGATTTTACAAAGCAACCAATACAATTCAAGAGCCACTGGTCCCAAATCACACGAGCTACTTGACAACAATGCATATTCCTAGACCCCAGTTCCAACATACTGAATTGAAATCTTATGATTAGGCCTTGGAATACACATTTCAATTAGCTTCTCAGACTATTCTTACACTAGAATTGGAGAATTCTAAACCAGGCCTCTTCTTTTAACAAATATACACTAAATGCTAGTATAGTCATCTCTGGTTCCAGGATCCCCTATAGATAACCAAATCTGGGGATGCATAAGTCTACTTATAAAACATCATAGTATTTTCATATAATTTACATGCATCCTCTGTGTATTTGGAATCTATCTCTAGATTGCTTCTAGTACCTAACACCATGTAAATGCTGTGAACACAGTCATTATGGTATTTTTAAGGGAATAATAACAGGTTGAAAATGTTCACAAGTTTAGTACAGATGTAACTTTTTTTCCCTGATATTTTTGATCTGTGGTTGGTTGAATCTGTGGAGGTAGAACTTGTGGATAAAAAGGGCCAACTGCACTTAGATTTTGATCATGTATATCTATAAATCCTGATGACTTTTTAACACACTTTCAAAGCAGGAGCACAGTTCTACAGGTAAAACTCCTCCTTCATAGACCTCAGCTTGTGCTTCATTTCTTAATTCCAGGTTATGAGCCCTAGCTGTTCTTTTCACATTCTTCCTCTTCCTTACTTGCAGGAGGCCTGAAGGGTGATTAAAAACTGTTCACATCCTGATACCTAAAAAACATCTCTTCCATTTTCCCAAGCGTCACTCTAGGCAGCTTCGTGAGCCCCTGCAAGATTAAAATAAAATCCTTGACACCATATCTCCAAAGAGAACCTAACCTAGGGAGATTGTCCTAAGCCAAAGTCCTGCAAGCCACACTCTCACAGTTATGCGAATGATTGTACAAGCATATCTTGTAATTATTAACTGCAAGAGGGGCCAGAGCATTCTGTGACCTTCAGACAGGAACCCACTTCTTTTTTCTCCAGCCCTCAATCAAATTTAATGTGTGTAGATTGTTTACCCCAAATGTGTTTTATAGTTTTCCCACCCTCAGTCATTTTCAGTTCAGTTTCTGTGCTATTTCCCTCACCTCCTTCTTCTTGCTGCTGCTGCTTAAACTCACAAAAGTGCAATTAATTTGTTCTTTGTTTCTCCCAAATGGCATTTGGAGATGAATTAAGAATGCTCAGTAGCTGGACACAGGGACTGGGTCACGTTTGTTTAGCAATCCCTTTCTGCCAGAGCATTAGCATGTCCAGTGCCAAGAACTAGCCAGGTTCCAGGATGCAAAAATTGAGGGAAACCCTCAAGTTTCATGGTGAGGA